TTTTTGGCGTTCGAATTAACTGGAATTTTACTGCTCATGTGTTTTCTAGTTTTTTTTAAAACTAAGTGTTTCTCAACTGAACTGACTAGAATTTTATAGCCAAAATTTTTTATAACCTAATTGTCTCCCAATTAACTATGTTTGATTGACTAAATAACAATCTAAGAGTAAAACTCAAACATTGATAAATTAATAAAAGCAACTAGCGAATTGTATATAGAAATATATAAAAGAATGAGAATCTTGATCAAAATGTATATTTACATAAAGCTTAAATCTATAATTGTTAAAATTATTTTTTTTAAAAAAAATTTATCTTCAATTATTATTATAATTTTGTTTTTTTAAATTATTTTTTCTTTAATTTTTTATTTTATTTATTATTTTATATATTTTTTAAATTTATTTATTTTTACTTAATTTATTTTTATTTTTAATTTTTTTAATTTTTATTTCTTTTCTTGTTATATCATTAAATTACTAATGGAAATTCCAGAAGATTTTGAATGCTTTCTTGAAACTTTAGACCTTACCTCCATACCTAGTGTTGGCACTAGAAGCCACTAGAAGACCACTAGAAGGCTACTAGAAGTAAAATTAAATAGTGCTACTGGAGCTTTTACTATTACAAATTCTCACTGGAAGATCAGAAATTTCCACTGGAAGCCAAAATTGTCAACATTGTCCATACCAGTCCTGGAGCACAATTATGAGGAAATAGAATATAATGAAGACGAGAAAATGGAATATAGTGATGAAGAAATAGCAGATGACTCTCAAGATGAATCAGAACTAGATTCAAGTAGTGACAAAAATGTAGAAGATCCTGAAGATCCTGAATGACATTAGGCTGCTGCTAATAATTTGATTACTAAACTTAGATTATGTTGTTCATGTAAAGGGAATTGCAGTACAAAGATTTCATTAGATCTATTAAAATCTTTAGCATTAGAAAGTGTTAAAATGAATAAAAAAACAACAACGTTATTCAATGTCGATACTTATATCTTCATTTGACAAAGGATCCCACAAAAGACATTTTAATACAAGGTATCAACTGCTATATTTTGGTGAAGTTTGTAGCCTTTTTTTTTAGAACATTTTGGTTATGCAGAAAAGATGCTTTTTACTGTTTTTGTGATTGGGTTCGAGAAGAAAGATCAATGCTTCCTTCGCCTCATGAAAATGCTATTCATTTACCTATTAACAAGTTATCTGCTAAGATGGTTAATAAAGTAAAATCTTTTATTAGATTGACTGGTGAACAACATAGAGAAGGAAAATATACGCGAAAAAAGATAGATAGATCAATAACAGTGCAATATGAAAAGCATGATATTGTCTTTCTTCTATCACACTATTCCTATAGTCAGCTTTTAACTTTTTATAATATAATGTATCTAGATAAACTTGTAAGTCGTTGAAGCTTTCAAAATATATGGTTGAATGATGCTGAATTAAACAAAATCATTATTAGAAAGCCGTCTAAGGATGTGTGCGACAAATGCACTCTTTTTAAATGTGCATTAAAAGAAAACAATAATATAAATGAAGACCTTGATAACCAATTTGCTATACATATGCATAATTATCATGCCATGAGAGAAATATATGAAAGTGATATCCAAATAGCAAAAGGTTGTAATCGGTCTTTATTTCATGTTTTCTCTTTTGACTTCGCTCAAAATATAGAGCTGCCTACAATCCTCAACAACTAGGCAGATGGTACTATTCGTCATTATTGAAAGTGCACCAGTTTGGATTAGTAGACGAAGGTATAGATCATCATTGGCATGCTCTTTACACAGAGGCAAAAGCATCAAAAAGAGCAAATGAAGTTACATCTATAGTGCATTTATTTCTTACTTCTGTTGCGGGTGATGCAAATGAAATAAAGCATATATTAATTAATAATTAATTACAAATTTTTGCTCTGCAATGCTTTAATAATAAAAATAGTTTATACTTACAAGCTATAATTTAAAATTAGGTTATAGGCAGATAATTGTAGTGAGCAAAATAAAAACTTGTGTTTTTTATAGTATTTTCTATAGGCTTGCCATACACAGATATTTCAAAAAATTGAATATCGCTTTCAGATTAAGGGTATACTCGAAATTCTGTAGACTGTGGATTTGATTGCACTAAAAGAGAATATATTAGATCAGAAGTTTGGTGCATAAAACAGTTAGTTGAGATAATAAATAGAAGTACGAGTAATAATATCTCTGTAAACTTGGAGAATCAAACAGGTCCATTCTGTAACTAAACTTCAGCACTTAGCTTATTGTATTGTAAACCTCTGACCATTCAAAAATATCATTGTTTTCAGTTTAGTAGTGAAAATCCTGGTACAATGAAGGCTAAGGTAAAACTTACAGATTTATGGAATGAATTCCTATTATTAAAACAAAATGTTGATGTGGAAAGTTTGAATCCTCAAGAACTTCTACAAAAAGGTTTTCCTGAAGAAAAACTGGTTGACCTTTAGAACAATATTTGTCCTTACTGCCCAATTGCTTTTCATGACAATTTTTGTTCTAAGCCAAGCAATGATTTAATAGAAAGGGTTGGAAAGCAAAAAAGAGACCATGCCAAAGAGGCACAGCAAAAGCAAAATGTTAAAAAAAAGAAAGTTAACTGTAATGTAATTAATACGAATCTTTAAAAACACAAAAT